TGACTGCTTTTTACTCTATCACAAGTAAGTAGTTTTTTTTTACTTCAAGCAAGGTCATCTTCACTGATTCTTAGCTTTTGAATTTTGTCCTTGAGGATGACCTGTTTTTGGACTTTTGGACCTTAAGCTCTCACTTCTTCTGTGTTTTAAAAAATGTTTTATTGGGGTTAACTTGCTTTATTTTAATTGCAACAGGCCTAAACCCTACTGAAGAAATGACTTGGTTTCATACTTTCCTTGCTCTGGTGCTGTTCCTTGCTTGTAATGTATAAAAAAAAAGTACATTCCCTTACACATCTAAGTGCACAGTGCCACAGCGGTAGTCCAGCTCTATACTGGTCTTCCTCACTCTCCGCTTTCTGTGCCATGACTGCAGCCAGGGACCCCACTGAAGGAGCTGCATTACACCCCAGGTCACCAATATCCCCTTAGCCCTCACAAAGAACCCCCGCTTATGGAATCAGATACACTGTGGAGCTTGACAAATTACTCGCCAACAGCATCCCCTCCCATGCTCAAAGTTCTGCGCATTTTAACCCCCCACCACGCAGGCCACACATCCAATTTGTCAGGTCGGGAACTGGGGTTGAAAAATGGCTGCGTTTGCGACGGGGCCATAGCGGTCTCTCGCCTTTGTTTATTGGTCCGTGACTGACGATAAATAAGAGTAATAGACAACACATACAACATGAATTATGAATGTGCATTTAATTATGTTGCTTACTGCGTGATAAGGATAGGTAATTACAAAGAGATCATTTATCAGGTATTTGTAAGCTGGGCTAGAGCCTGAAATGACCTTATAGTACAGATTTGCATTTCTCTTGTAATGCTGGAATATTACAGGGTTTTTTTTGATTCATAGACTGTATAAAGAAGCGGACTAAGGCAGTGTGACATCACCAGTCAAGTGAAGCTCAAGAGGGTAGCAGTTATTGGAGCAAATTGTACATGTTTTGTATATTAGGAATAGGATTTTATTTACGGACAAAATAGCAAAAACACCAGGATCAAGTAGAGCAGGTTAATCTGAACATTTTAACACTAAAATGACGAGGCTCACTGCAAAATTTATGGAGAGAGAGATGACTTTTTTTTTTATGTGACGTCAATTGGAGCCGAGTTGATGGATGCAGAAGCGCACTCTTGCTCACTTCCTATTTGGAACGCGGTGGGTAGCGGGCTATATTCATTTATATAACCTGTGGTTGATTCATATATCTGTCTATTAATGCGTTCTGTTTGTTTGTCTGTTCCACGCATAACTCTCGAACCGCTTATCGACTGGTCTCAAATTTGGAGGGGGTCATCCTAATGGTACGGGTGTGTGAAGTGCAAATTTTCATGTTGTTAGAGCCAAAAATTTTAAAGATCTTTTAAAATTAGTGATATATTTAAAACATAAACCACTTTTGGAATCTTCAGTTTTATCTGCTCTCTCCTATCTCCTAGTTAATATCATAGACCGTATGTATAAGTGGACATAGTTAACGCGCTAGCCGCCGCATGCCAAAGCGGAAGTTCGCCAGGTGGCTCTTTTAGCTTCTTCTGACTCTGGCTCCAATTGACTTACATTAGAACAGGGGTCTCCAACATTTTTTCCTCCGATGAGCTACTTTTACAAAACAAAAATGCCAGAGAGCTACTAGTTTTAGCAGTCACAAGAAACTGAGTGTATATATAAGAGCCACGGCGAGCATTAAATTACGTACAGTTAAGTATTTAATTCATCCAATTTTACTTATGTAACACAAATACGTGTAATTCAGAAATCCCTTGGCGAACTACTTGGAAGGGGGTGGTGAACTACTGGTGGCTCCCGAGCTACAGGTTGGAGACTCCTGCATAAGGATCTTGTCGCTCCCCTCTCTGCAACTGCTGCCATGAGCCTCGTCATTTTGGTCTTAAAATGTTTGTATTAACCTGCAACACATGATCCTGAATTGTTTTTTCACTATTTTGTCTGTCAAAAAAATCCAATTCATAACATAGTGCCTGGCTCCAGATTTGCTCCTCTAACCGTGAGCATTACGAGCCTCATTTGAGTGCCGCTGAACGTTATGGGTGATGTCATGCTCGCTTAGTCCACTTCTTTTATACAGTTCTATGGTTAATATACATAATAGTTTTCACACAAAAAAGTATTTGGCCTGAAATATTTAAAATATCCGCTACAATAAAACATGTCTTTTTTGGATTTGTAACGTTTATTTTCCTATCAGGATTAAACATTATATTTAGCAGATGACCTAGACAGCTGGGCCCCCATTGTATTGGACTGTGACATTTTGACCTCCTTAACACGTGAACCTCAATGTTTGCCTGTGGGGATTAAATGCATGAGTAAGCACACGGTATGGGCCATTTTGTTTATCGTGACGCCTGCTCATTATTGGTCACGTTCCTCCCATGGACCACAGTTTTCATATAAGTAAATCTTAACTAACTTGAAGAACATTTTAAGCAATTCATAAAAGTTCATTCTGATTGCTTGTATTGCAATGAAAAAAACATGCATCCTTACTCTGAGTGGGCTCCATAAACCTTACTCTTAAATGACCTGAAAAGGGGCCTCCTCCTCCTGCTTGGTTCCATAGAAGAGTTGTTCCTTTGGCTGTAATTTTCCACAGTATGGCATAAAACTTTTATCTCTGGAGATCCTGTTCTGAAGTATGGTTTTAAATTTCATTTGTCAGTGAAAGGAAGAAATAAAGTGTATAAAGGATTTTGAATGCACATCTCTACAACAAACACGTAGCAACAACAGGTTTACTTGTTAACATGGGTGAAATTATTACTCAGATCAATAACATCCATACAGCGAATTATCTCTGTTTATTCTTGGACACGCAGACTCTAATGTGCATGTAAGTAGAGCTCAAATATTGCCCAGGCTTAATGCACAGGGGTCATAAGGTTTGTAGGAAGTCAGGTTGAGTGTGACTAAGCGTCTGAATATAGCATAGATGTACACTATTGGATTTGGAAAGTGAAACAAATAACAGTGACCCAGGAGAGTTCAACACTATACGGCTCGATGGGCTAATGTGATCATCTGGATGGCACCTGTTGGCAAAGAGCATCTATTAAAGTGGTCTGATCTGTTGTGTGAGAATACAGAGAGCACACGCGGCCCTGGAGAAGCTTTGAGAGGGCTTTGTATAAACTGATGACGAAGCAGTAAGAGGGGGTTAGCAATTCTACTTTTCATAGGTCACAAAATTAAGGACGGATATTTGGATAAATGCACCTGACTGAATAATCGGAGAAGCACTAGGAGGGGTGCCAAATTGAACTCACAAAACGCATAATTCAACCTTCTTTACTACCAACTAAATGAGGTAAGTCTTGATTAAATAAATGACTAACAATGGCAACAAAAGTCGTCAGATTTGAATGTGATTTGTGCGAACGATCGCAATTTAAATGCACAGTACACGCATTTTTTTTTTGTTTTTTTCCTCATTGTGAACAAATGATTTAAGATGCTGAGTAGTCCATGAGATGATTTAGCCATCTGAAGCACGCCATTATTTATAGCCCAAATTAGACTTTCCATTAACCTCGCATCACGCAGACAGGGTCAATAAGCCCGACAGCCACGGGGACAATGCAACGCCCGGGTTTGGTCTAGACTCTAGCCGCTAACTCCCTTTATACTCAGTCTCTTATTAGCTACAAACACACTCTCCTGTAAATACAGCGCCTATTCTGAGGGACACATAAAATATGAGCGGGATAGAAAAATCCATATGATTGAGTACACGTATGTTTCCATTATACCACACACTAGTCCTACTTACAGTACATTAGAGCAGACGAAAAGGAAGCAGGGGGAAATAAATGGTGTTGCTGAACAAATAAAATGTTAAATTAAAAGGTGGATTGTGTAGCTTTTTTTTTCTGGTGAAGGGTCAGTTAAGTGCTTTTAGCCATGGAGATGTTATAGCTTTGTCTGGAATGTGTTTAAATCGTTCTATCTTCATGAAGTCCAAACCAGACCAAGTTATAGGTCAGATCTGTGGAGAGACAACCCCGCTCAGAGTCAGAATGTTTGTTTTTCGAGGTGTTTTTGAGCTATAAAACCACTCGTAATTGAATAATGTAAGGTAGAGCTGTTTACTGTGGAACACTCCAGACAGAACAATGATATATCCACGTAAACAAGCAGGTAACCAATCCCCAAACAAAAAGTTACATAGTGCCCCTTTAATAAATCCAACTGCTGCTTTTGCATTTATTTCCACAAACACATGGCTCGCTGATCACGTGGTCAGTGACATCTGCCCAACACTATCACAACACCACAGAGTTGACAGCTTGCATTGTCAAGGAGGTGATTAAGGGAGCTGCAGGCTTACCGTCCAGAACAAGGACTGCGCGTAAACAAGCCCGAGATTCGCATTACATTCAGTTAGCCGCCTATGGGACAGCTATACGTTCACGATCGTACTTTACGCACTGGTCTGTGGTGGTGATGGATGCGCCGAATAAACACGCATGTACGCTTCACAAATCTCAAACTCGCTCCGGCTCCCTCCTCTGCCCTCACATCATCCGCTTATCTGAGTCGCCACTCGTCGCGCTTGATTATCCACGCGTGTTCTCGGACACAGTGACGCACTTTGCACGAGTAATGCAAGCAAACAGGGACGCGCTGCGCTCCGAATCATTTTAACAAGATGCGTGGATGGATAGGAGAGAGAGGGAGACCTGGTCTATGTTAAAATACTTTCAGTGCCAGATGGTGTAGCCTTTGAAACTCCATGCAACACGAGTGGCGCAAACAGCGAAGTGATGGAAGTTCAAACGCGTAAAATGCACGCAGTCTGGAAACAAAAGCTTCATTTAAATACAAGCTGTGGTTTGTTATGCATCTGTTAGTTACGTGAGGTGCACCTTGCAGACTCCCGCTCACGAGGAGAGTGTATTTCGCAACTGTGCATCCGAACAGGCACGAGACACACGAGGAAAGTTAGAAGAGAAGGAGTGGGACTTACCTTATGATCGCCGTGTCGCCCTGGCGGATGGTGATGTTGTCCGTGGTCCGCTGCATATCCACACTTCGGACGGGGAATCCTGTTGGAATAAGACACAGCAGTCTGAAAAAAGAAGCCTGCAACTGCCTCCAACACGGTTTGCGTCCGACTTGCATCTTCTGGTACGCGCGCGTGTTTCGTGAAGCGATGAATAAATCCAAAACGGTACAAAGATGGAGATGGGAAAAAAGTGCTGACAGTTGTCCTGAACACAATCCAACAGCAACAGTTCCGATTTCAAACTCGACAGCGGAGTTTGAGTAGCACTAAAATCTACAGCTTCGCCAATGTGATGCGCACACAGCCAGTAGCGGCGATGGGGAGAGAGGCAGGCTTCTGTTCAGACTCTGGGAAAATCGCCCCCCTCCTCGCTCCACACAGCCACACGCTCTCAGCAGCACCTCTCTCTCCTCTCAGATTATTCGGCCTCTCACTGCGATGCGCCCCTTATTGGTTGTCAGGACAACAGCACCACCTGAGGTCCCTTTCTGCCAAGACACATGCGAGCAGGACTACGATGGAAACAGTAATGGAACAAAAAGGACCTGTTTGTGAGCCGAGATGATAGACAGTTTTTGCCTGCACGTGAACGCTGATTTTAGGCATTTTCTTTCCAATTTATAGGCCTATTATTCTCTTTCCTTCAAACTGTTTTACAATAATCATTTGAAACTATTGAAACCATGTATCTGCAACTGCCCGGGTGAGTAGTGTAAATATGTCATGTTTAAGCACAAAAGAGTTCAAAACAAAGAGTTTCATGAGTTTTTTTCAAGAGTTCAAATTCAAAGACAGATGTTTCTGACCAAAAAGTATTTTTCTTTTTGTTACCATCTTCTATTGGCATTATCACTGAATACAGGAGAGATGGAGTAATATATTGATTACATCATTTATAGCCCAAATTAGACTTTCCATTAATGTCACATCACACAGACAGCGTCAATAAGCCTGACAGTCAAAGGGACAATGCAATGTCCTGGTTTGGTCTAGACCAGGGGTGGGAAAACTACGGCCCAGGGGCCATATGCGACCCTTTAATCTTTTTAATCCAAACGAATTTGTATATTAAGAATAATAATTTTCAGTGTTTTAAAAGTCATTTCAATAAATAGTAAATACCATGAGACTTGAAAGACAGATATTTTGTTGTAATGCTTTGTATTGGTAAATGGTCACATTTTTCTATAGCGCTTTTCCACCTTCAAGGCACTCAAAGCGCTTTACAACAAGGAACCACTCACCCATTCACACACACATTCACACACCAGTGTACGCAGACACTGTGGGCAAGTTGGGTTAAGTGTCTTGCCCAAGGACAACGACAGCATTCATCTGTGGGAGCTGGAATCACACCAGCCAACCTGTGGGTCAGTGGATCTGACCGCTCAACCGCCAACCTTCAGATTAGTGGGTGAATGCTCTACCAACTGAGCTACTGCCGCCCCCCCCCAATAATGGGATATTAATTTTCTTTCTCTTATGAGATGGATTACCAAAAAACTCCATCCATCTACTCCTGGTCCAGCCCTTCCATCAAATTTTAGAACCCTTTGTGGCTCATGAGTCACATCTGGATTTTGAAAACAATACTATAGAAAGAGTAAAGTGTGAGCCTCTGATGACTTTTTCTAATGGTACGTATCTGTTTTTGCAAATGAACTCAAGTTTTAATCCAGTATACCTTTAGTGACAGTCCAAACAAGTGGATTCATTTCAAAGTATTGTGTTTGGTGGGCTTCCAGCATAAACCACAAACTTTACCGTTACAAAATAACTTGGTAATGGATACGAAAAAGGGGACTGTCTCTACCTAACACTTGTAAAATCCTGTATCTACCATTCAAAGTGAGTACACTGACTTCTAGTATTAAGTGTCACTCTCAATGTCAGTAGTAGTATTCACCATCACCAAGGTAAAAAAAAAAAAAAAAAAAAAAGTCTGTACTCTCTGAACTCACACTGTATACCTCTGCTGAGCTGTTGCATTATGGGTAATCTCATCCATTCCCACACTGAAGGTCTTCTGTTTTGAAGGTGGGTGCCTTCTTATTCAGCTGAAATCCAAATGTGAAATGAGCTTTTAATTTCAGCTCTTGCCAATCAAGCAGCAGTTTAATAGGCCATGATCTAAAGCTCGTTTAGCGCAGACTCTAATGAACTGACTGTAACGGTTTAGGCAGTGCATTTAGCATGATTTGTTTCAGGAAATAGATGAATACTGATGAGACACATTGTGAATCTTCGCACAGTGCCTCAGCTGCCTGCCTGACGCGACTACAGAGACATTTGATTAATAATTGACAATTTGCCACATTACCAAGAAGTGGAGGACCTCTACATACAAACTGAAATTAAAATCATTGCACAAGCATAGTCAAATGTGTTTGTTAGGTCAGATGAGGAGAGCCTGGCATATCTGTTTAAAGGTGCACTGTATCCATTTTCTGGTGGAGGGTCCCCGCATTTGCTGGTTTCCATGGAGATGTTGTCATTTTGTCTGGAATGTCCTGGTATGGCATTAAACGTATTCATCTTGCATTAACTTAAACTTACATATTTACTGTGAGAGGGCTCGCTTCGCCACAGATCTGACATGACCAAACTAGACCAAGTTACAGGTCAGATCTGTGAAGAGGCAACCCCGCTCACAGTCAGAATGACAGTTTTACTAGGTATTTTTGAGCTTTAAAACTACCTGTAATTTAATAAATGTAGGTAGATCTGTTTAATGTCATACTGTGGAACATTCCAGGCAGAGCAATGACATATCCATAGAAACAAGCAAGTGACAGATCCCCAACCAAAAAGATAGTGTACCTTTAAATAAACTTAAACAATCCAAAACTGATTTTTTTATCCTCATATGAACATTAGTTGGCCGTGCACACAGGAATATTTACCATTATGTGATGTAATTGGAAAACCACTCAGACAATTTTCCTTTCAGAAAGTCAGTTTAGTTTTCATTAAAGCATCTTGCCAAAAGATTTCTTGGAAGCATAAGAATAATTAGAACAAAATCTAACTGAGCTGTAAAAATGCACTGTGAAAATAAAATATAGCTTTAGTAAATACCCAGCATAAGCCCAATAAAATGCTGGTACTTAAAGAAAAGTAAAATTGAATTCTGTCAACTGGACAGAAGCTTTCAAGAGTCAGTATGTTTTGAAACTCATCCAGGAGCTTCTTCAGTTCACAACTGGCATTGACTTCTGACAACAACGCATTAGCTCCGCCACCTTATTTTCGACCTACATTTTCTAAAAACGCGTATTCTAAAAATGCATTTTCTTAAAACGTGTTCTGATTCTTTCCTCTCTCACGTAGCAGTCCATCAGCGCTTATATATGTGCCTGTATGCCTGCTGTCACTTATGGCTGCTGAAGGTTTATAGTGCTGTCGATCATATGAACACCCTCTTTATGTTTCTTACACAAAGCACTTGTTGTGGAGCACACAGCTGTTTGTAATCCCACCATGAGCGCAGCACGCTGACAGGATGCCCCAGAATGAGCAGCTCTGTGGTTCAGGCATCAGCACATTTTAAGCTGGAGATCAGAGGTAGCAGCCATTTTGACAGCTCCCCCTCCAGCAGATGTAGCCTCTGTATGACATGTAATGGTGAGATTATCAAAACTGGGAAATACAGGCTCAAAAGAGGCTTATGGGGGAATAATTAATAGACAAGCAGCAATGCCTGACATACATGCTAAAATGTATTTCCACGGGGATGGTTTTAGACGTAAGTACGTAAATAAAACTCTAGCTAGGACCTGATGTTCTGGTGCCGAGGCACAAAGCCAATGTTGTGACCACACCCTTTGGCCATGGTACAGCACTAACAATTAACATTAGCAGTTTGATTGATAAATGTTTTAATACACTGCACTGTTTTGTAATACATTGTACTTTGTGAGATGGTTTTATGGCACTAAAATCAATCTTGGACATTGAAATTCACAATTATGTAACATTGGGATAAAGCATGAAGGTCCAGAGACAAGCAGAGTACAAATGTGAGAATGAAATGTCATTTGTGTGCCTTGTAAAAAATCCCTATGCCGATTGTAATCATACTTTGCAGTGACATCACGCTGGGGGAGTTCTACATGAAGACTAGCAGAATGTTCAACAGTTACCATGGTGACACAATGCCCACATTAGCAAACACTATCAAAAAACGTTTAAGATAGTATGTAAAATATATTCAAACAGCACATTTTCATGGTCCTGTGATCAATAGGCGTTACAGTCTAATTTGAGTAACAGAGCTTCAGACAGAGCAGTGCCTAAAGTTAGCTTCACAGGAAATATTGATGACATCAGCTGCAAAGTTGTTTTTTACTCTACCAATGCAGATCGACATTGAAAGCAAACTGTAGCGTCATATAAACCCACAAAACGTAATTGCGTATTTCAGGTTTAAAGTGAGAATATACTGTAAACTCAAAACATAACTTTTCAGGCATCTTGATCTTGGTTGGCAGGTGAAGATGGGCGAAAGATAGAGAATTTTGGCTTTAAGTGCAAAATTGTTTCCTGAAATTGCAGGCATTTGCTCAAACTTACTACACAGCGTTTCACATATACCCAAGACCGAGCAGTGTATGAAAAGAGCATTTGCATTAGGAGCACTTAAAAGAGACTAGTGGGTGCGGAGGCAGAAGCAGTGGGAAGAGGCGCTCCTTGGCATACAGATTTGGACAGGAATCTCTCCCGTGAGGCTTTTAGTTATACTTCAAGTTTGGAATTGGTTGAAGACGGCTGGCGATGTGAGCGATAGTGTGTGTAATAAGTGGGGATCGCCCGGCGTGCCTCTCGGAGATGGAGGAGGCGGGGGAGGGGGATGGGGGGCATATATACAGAGGCTTATGGCAGCTCTGACAAAAGGCCAGTGATCTCTGGTTCGGCTTCTCACAACACACAGGCAACTCATTATCATGCTGCTGGGATGCTCAGAACAATGCGCAAACGGGCATAGAGGAAGCATGGTACGGTTAGAGGTCCTATATTATGCAAAAAATTACGCCATTATAATGACCTCATAAAAACAAACCTGGAGTTGTGTTTTGTTTCATTCACACATGTTTGAGTAATCCGGCATTATTAGTCTGTCTACAGCACCTAAAATCAAGTTAACAGCTACTTTTTACTTTTTGTTTAGAAGAAATGGGCAATACCGGGGCTAAAATCATCCAAATTATTCTAGTGAAGGTCT